AAGTCCATATGCATGTGCTATGTTTGAAAAAAGAGGTTGATGTAGTTTAGTTTGTGTATAGTTTAATCACTTATGCATTAACTGTGCAGATTTACCAGAGGACTGTATTGTCACACAGTCTTATTCATTTAGTCTTCTAAAGTTTAAGCATCTTACTGATTGATTTAGTTGCTCTTGTTTAGATGATACAATACTGTTAACTACCAAACGTAGTTAATTGGCTGCAAAACAGTTCTACCATTGAGCATGTTCTCCGATCAACATCCATGAATAAAATATTTTATAAAACCATAGTGAATGAAATCATGTTTCTTCAAGCCAATGAAATGATAAGTGTCTTGAATTTATCCAGCACTGACACTGTTTTTTAGTGTTAATGATGATCATGATACACAGATTTCTTGAGTAGAGCAAATTAAAAGTATTTTAACTTTTTAATTTTTATCTTAATAAAATTAATATTTTATCTTTTTATAGATGTGACTTTTCTAACAGAAGACAAGATATATGAAATTCTTGAACTATGTCGAGAGAAAGAGGATTATTCCCCTTTAATCCGGGTGATTGGGAGAGTATTTTCTAGTGCTGAAGCATTGGTACAGAGTTTCCGAAAAGCCAAGCAGCACACCAAGGAGGAGCTCAAGTCTCTTCAAGGAAAGGATGAAGACAAAGATGAAGATGAAAAGGAAAAAGCTGCCTGTTCGGCTGCTGCTATGGAAGAAGATTCAGGCGCATCGTCATCTTCGTCGTCAAGAATAGGTGATAACACACAGGGAGATAATAACCTCCAAAAACTAGGCCCGGATGAAGTGTCTGTAGATATTGAAGCAGTCAGACGGGTCTATGATAGATTACTTTCTAATGAAAAAATAGAAACTGCCTTTTTAAATGCACTTGTGTACTTGTCACCTAATGTGGAATGTGACTTGACTTACCATAATGTGTACTCTCGGGATCCTAACTATCTGAATTTGTTTATTATCGTTATGGAGAATGGCAATCTTCATAGCCCGGAATATCTGGAAATGGCTCTACCATTGTTTTGCAAAGCAATGAGCAAACTACCCCTTGCAGCTCAAGCAAAACTGGTCAGATTGTGGTCTAAGTACAGAGCAGACCAAATTCGGAGAATGATGGAAACATTTCAGCAGCTTATTACTTACAAAGTCATAAGCAATGAGTTCAATAGTCGTAACCTAGTGAATGATGATGATGCTGTTGTTGCTGCTTCAAAGTGCTTGAAAATGGTTTACTATGCAAATGTAGTAGGAGGGGATGTGGATACAGATCATAACGAAGAGGAAGATGAAGAACCCATCCCAGAATCAAGTGAACTAACTCTTCAAGAGCTGTTGGGTGAAGAAAGAAGAAATAAAAAAGGTCCTCGAGTGGACCCACTGGAGACTGAACTTGGTGTTAAAACTATAGATTGCAGAAAACCACTTATCCCTTTTGAAGAATTTATTAACGAACCACTGAATGATGTTCTAGAAATGGACAAAGACTACACTTTCTTCAAAGTAGAAACAGAAAATAAATTCTCTTTTATGACCTGTCCCTTCATATTGAATGCTGTTACCAAGAACCTGGGTTTGTATTATGACAATAGAATCCGGATGTACAGTGAAAGACGGATAACTGTGCTCTACAGCTTAGTTCAAGGACAGCAGCTCAACCCTTATTTGCGACTTAAAGTGAGACGTGATCACATCATAGATGATGCGCTCGTCCGGGTAAGTCATGCAGCAACATGGAACTTAGGTTTGTTGGTTCTGACTAGTGCAAACTACGTGGGCTTTGACTAACTGAAAAGGACTGCGTGTGAGTGCAGTGTTTTACGTACTAGATTTCCTCTAGAAGAAACTCAAATAGCTTTACCATATTAAGTTTGAGTGATAAGCGTGCTGCTGAAGATTTGTATGTTCAGCAGAACCACTTCTCCTGAGAGTGGTTGCAGACTTAGATGTTTTAAAGTGTCAAATAGTTCTTATTCCCCGTTGACAGATTCTGCGCTGCTACGGCTATTAATGGTGAGAGTGACCAACTTCTGTTTCAGTACTTTGTCCTCTGGACTGTCTTGGATCATCTTCTGATAGTATGGTTTTTCAAATGGAAGTTGGAATTAAAGCCTTTCAGTTGTGTACTCTTCTTGTGGGCTTCTGAACGTCTAGATATGAAGTGTGTGGAGTGACTGCGTGATAAGTAGAACTTCTCGCTTCTCTAAGCGTTGTTGCAATTTGGTGCAAATAATGATAGGACTGAGAAAGGAGAAGTAAGACCTGTTAGTACCTGAGAACTGTGAGAACAGCCTGTTTCTGAATATGCTGGCTTCTTAAAGTAAAACTTAAAGCCATTTGTTCACACATTTTTTGGAAGGTGGGAATTATACAGGATACAAATGATAAAGAATATTTCACAGTAAACTCTTTTCATAAATATCCTTTAATTTTAGGAGTATTTCTCCCCTTTATTTTTTGCTTAAAGCTGTTATTTTTCAGAAGGTCATTTTTCTGTGTTCTGTTACTAAAGCACACCAATGTTTGCAAAATTTTAAATTTAACCATGGTTTTAAAGCTTGTTGCTGAAGAGCCAGACAGGTATTTGGAGACACTCTGGGGAAAGTACCTCTTTTTGCCTCTCAACCCAGCTGTTACTTCTAGTTAAATTTGACTTCTTTAACTGCTACTGAAGGTCAATTGTGAGAGCCTTAAATGAGCTCCCACCTTGATCTTTCTGTGTACCTCTGAATTCCAGATGGGTTAGCTGCTTCATGGGAATTGCTGATATTATGACTCATCAGGGGAAACCTTTGTCTCCAGTACCAGTAAGAAAAATAAAATTGCAATGCAGAAATGGCTTCTGTCTGTAAACCCAATTATTATATTAGGCAAATGAGAAATATACTGTTCTAAGATTAAACCCTACTGTGTACCAGTTTTCTAATTTAAGAATAGTCTTTGTAATTTCACTGCCTATCAGACTTACAGTTCTATCCAGTTACGTTTTGTCGCATTATTGCAATGGAGTTTATTTCCATTTCCAAAGCTCTGTTCAGCTTTGGGGTACATAAATACTGGAAAAAAGGGAGGGACAGTACCATCCCTTTAGGAGAGGATGGGCTGAAAGAGGATACAAGCTAGTTTTAGGGAGATTTTCATTTTAATGTCAGTTCTGGCAGAGAAGAAGCAGACCTCCCTCTGATAATGGTAAGGAAAATCTGTAAGTATGAGAAAAGGCATCCTTCCGCATATTGCTTGTTGTGGAAGGAAGTTGAAATCTTTGAGGACAAAAAAACCTGTGTAGTGTTGCTTAGAAAGCTCATGGGCAACATCAAGTTGGTGCAGCTACTATATCACAACAGAGCCACAGCAGTCATCACTGTGCACACTCTTGGTCTGTTGGAAATTTAGGTAGTTTAAATCAGATTAAGCTCAAGCATACTAATTTAAATTGTGATGCACTTGCAGCAGCCCTTGCACTGCCTAGCAGTCTACGGGTATGTGTCTGGGCAATTGCCATGGATCCTCTTATGGCTGTTAATTTAAGCTATCAGAACATGCTGAGTTATGGTGATCTGGCTCTGTCAAAGCTCCAAGGAAAGTAAGAATTTTAAACTGTTTATTCTGGGACAGAAAATGAAGGAAAAAGATGAAATTGTTCTAAATTCAAACAGTCTGAGCTGAACTGTAGTGTTAGTCGATGACAGCAAGTACAGCCCAGGCATTTCTCAAAAGTGGAAAACAGATTACATTCAGTAAAATGGAGATGAATGAAGACTCGCCATCCTAGCTGGAGGAAGGGAGCTGTGTGTGCCGTTTCAAACAGATGCAGCAAAGTTACTGTTCTGAGACGATGTGGAATATTAGAGAAAATTGTGTTGATAAAAATACGTAGTGGGTACAGAAGTCACCTTTTAATTATTTATGTTTTAACTGATGATATGAAGTATCAGTGTTCAAGGAAGAGATTTTAAGTATTCCTGAGGAAGTGTTAGAAGGTAAGGGGCAAATGGTGCAATACAATGTCTCTGTTTACTATGGTGTGCCTATGTCTCTTTTTTTCTTTGTTCTCATTTTAATATCAAAAAGGATACAATAGGAATACGTTTGGAGAGTTCAGAGTCTCTTCAGAGAGATTGTAAAGTCCTTTTAATAGTAAAAAAAGATGACAGAGACGACATAAAAGATGGCATGGAGAAGTTGAATGGGAAATACCAGTTTTCTCAACTGGTAGCACCCAGTCGTATTATCAGGAAGCAGGCTTAACATCAGCAAAAGGACATATTTTTTTCCACACAGTGTACCTTAAAACTATGGATGTCATTTCCCAGAACTTGTAGCTCTTCATGAAAGAAAGATCCAGCAAAACCTAATGGGCATTACAGGCATTTTGCTGTGACCCACACACAAACCTCAGGAAGCCTGCTGGTAGCTGGAAAAGTATCATAGGGAAAATACTGTTCCGCAGTCATCTTGCACTTTCTTCAGTGGGTGCCTGATCTGTTTAAGAATTGCATGCTGTTGTTACACAGATGCTTCCTGTAACAGGCTGAGAAGTGATTTTTTTGTTGTTGTTAGTAAGTTTCACAATTTGTTTCCACTTCCTAGTTGCCCTGTAATTGGTCTGGGTGAAGATCTTCAGTCTTGCCTCCTAATCCTTAAAGTGACTTGCTCTGTCTCTGATTGTAGTCGAAAGTTGGCACTGCAGGTCAAAGATGGGTACCACGTGCTTCTGTAGTAGCACTGACAGCATCAAACCTGAGCGAAGGCTATGTTGTATGGGTTTGCTTCAGTGATGGTTGCAGCTTTGGGTGCGGTATTGAACTGTGGAAGGGTCTCGCTGAAAACTGTCAGAAAGATCTTGCCAAGATAATAGTCTCCAGTAGTAAAAGTGTATTCTTAGATCTGTTCAGTGACAAAATGTTTCCAAACATGCTTAAATTACGGGTAAGTAATTATGATTTCCAATATCTTTACCCTTGCATTGCACTTCTTACTTCTGGGGTTTGAATGCATGTAGAGTTGTTTGAAATGTAAGTAATTACATATTCATATTACTAGACCTGTGTCTTTACAGAACAACCATGGCAGATGACTTTGACTATATATGGAGTAACTTTGATAATTTCATGATAAAAGCATTTTCAGAAATATTGATTAAAATTAGGTTGAGATGGTCTTATTCACATTTTCCTTATTGATGCTGGATATTTTTCAAGCAAATATATTGATCAGTCTTCATAATTTCTTTTTGAAAATGGACTAAGTACAGGTCTTTCTCTGCTAATTAGTTGAGCTAATTAAGCTATCACCAAGCTGGTTTTCTCTTCTCAATATTTAATATTTAAACTTTTAGAATTCACTGTGTACATCTTCTCATTTTTGGACTTCATTAAAACCAAAATGAGCACTGGTAAGTGATTTTTTTAAATTACTGCAGGATTTTTTCTTTTACTGCGAATTCGAAGCAATAGCTTTTAAATACCTTTGAAGCAATAACTTGTTTAAAGCTGCTTATTAAGAGAATCGTAGTTGACCCTGGAACAAATATATCCAAGCAAAAATTTTATTTACGCATTCATTATTAATTTCTTTGCATGTGTGAAACTTGCCTCAAACTTATTTTTCTTTTTTTTAATTGAAATGGACTTAATGAAATATGCTTTCTTTGTATTGTATACTTATTGTGTACTTATTTGTATGTATGTTAGTCTGAAAAGTCACTGGGGGCATGGGTTGCAAATAGTAAAAGTGCTAGTCCCCACTTTTATTAAGGAACCCTTACATTTGGGAGTTGGTAGCTGAGTTTGCAGTTCTTGAAAGCAGTTAACACGCTTTTTGTGTCTAACAGGTTTCATTTGAGATGTTAGCTGTATTCCTGCT